GCGATCCTCAGATCTCAGCCTCCTGAGTAGCTAGGATTACAGGCGTGAGCCACCAGCGCCCGGCTTCTGCTCTTGCTTTTAATCCTAACCACACCTGAAGGAAGCTGAGTTGGAGGATCAAGTTTGGAGACCAGGCCAGAAAGTCCAAAAGCTCTTATCTTCTATTAACTAGCAAAAATAAATAAACAAAAAGCTGGAACTGGAGGTGTGGCATAAGGTGTAGCTTAGCCTTGAGCAAAAAGGATAAGAACCAGTGACTCTTGCTAGTACTCCACACTTGTAATCCTAGCTACTCTAGAGGCTGAGATCTGAGGATCACAGTTTTGGATTTAGTTGGTTGTGGGGCCTAAACTCTGGCCTGGCCCCTGTCCCTTAGCTCTTCAGCTCAATGCTAGCACTCTACCACTTGAGCCACAGCGCCACTACCAGCTTTATTTGCTTAGGTGTTGCTGAGGAATCAAACCCAGGGCCTCATGCATACAAGGCAAACACTCTACCACTGAGCCACCTTCCCAGCCCTTAGGATCACAGTTAAAAGCAAGCCCAGGCAGGAAAGTCTTGAGAATCTTTTTTTTTTTTTGGGGGGGGGGTCCAGTGGTGAGGCCTGAGCTCTGGCCTGGGCGCTGTCCCTCAGCTCTTCAGCTCAAGGCTAGCACTCTACCACTTGAGTCATAGCACCACTTCCGGCTTTTTTCTTTTTGCTTATGTGGTGCTGAGGAATCGAACCCAGGGCCTCGTGTATATAAAGCAAGCGCTCTACCACTGAGCCACCTTCCCAGCCCCAGTCTTGAGAATCTTATCTCCAGTTACCCATCAGAAAACCAGAAGTGGAGCAGTGGCTCAAAGTGGTAGAGCCCTTGTTTTGAGCAAAAAAGCTCAGGGACAGTAACCAAGCCCTATAACTAACCAGAGAGAGAGAAATGTGAGTGACCCCAAGGCCCTGAATGCAAGCCCCAGTACTAGCACCAAAATAAATTCTATATAACATACATTATATATTTTTATGGGGTGGGTGTGTGTCACCTGATATCATCTGTAATCCCCACTCGTGGGGCTTGGGTGGGGATATGGGGCTGAGGGGAGGGACTTACTTACTCCCCGCCTCTCTAAATACCAGGTATATGAAGACCTGAGGTATAAGCTCTCCCTGGAGTTCCCCAGTGGCTACCCTTACAACGCACCCACGGTGAAATTCCTCACGCCTTGCTACCATCCCAACGTGGACACCCAGGGGAACATCTGCCTGGACATCCTCAAAGACAAGTGGTCGGCCCTGTATGACGTCAGGACCATCCTGCTGTCTATCCAGAGCCTACTAGGAGGTGACTTCGGAGGCCACCCCATCTCTCACAACATGGAGATGAGTCAGGAATCTGCTAGGTTAACCGTCTCCACCCCCTTGACTCTTCTGTCTTTCTGCCCACAGAGCCCAACATCGAAAGCCCTTTGAACACACATGCTGCCGAGCTCTGGAAAAACCCCACAGGTAGGTCCCTCTCCAGCTTACGGTGATCCCTTCCTTTGAGCTAAGTGGGGAATGGCCACTTCTCTGCCTGCCATATTTTCTAAGGAGGCTTTGGATAGAATGCATGCCCCCCCAATTCACTGGAAGCAAGGCTGTAAGGATCCTGATTGCCTTGATAGCAAAGGAAAATCTCTAGGCTGGGGAATCAACACACACACACGCCCCTTCCCAACCTTGCGCCCCTGTGTTCAGGAAGCCCTTTTGCCCACCTTCATGAACTCCTGACCCCATCACTCACCTGAGACCCCCCCTGTTCTCTTCCAGCTTTTAAGAAGTACCTTCAAGAAACCTACTCAAAACAAGTCTCCAGCCAAGAGCCTTGACCTGAGCTGTCCAGTTTCTCCTGTGTTGTCTGTTTTTTCCTTAGTCTACCTGTCCTTTTCCTTGACTTCTGTACAGGACTCTGTTATCTTGAGCTGTGGTGTTGTTTTTGTTATGTTTTCTGTTTTTTAAATTAAGATTTAAGTCCTTGCAATGTATATTAAATAAATAACATTTGGGTTGTTTTTGTAAATGTTACTGCCTTGCAGTTATTCTCAGGTCAGAGGTGTTTGAGATAGAGAGAGGTCTGGCTTACCCTCTGGTTCTGTGTTGGTTTGTTCCCTTTTGTGGTACTGAGGATGGGACCCAGGGCATTGTGCTTCCTAGGCAAGTGCTTTGCCTCTTAGGTCTCTAAAGGAGTGGAAAAGCCCTGTTGACAGTGAGGCCGAGTGCTGGCTGATCATTCTGTATCAGTTTTCTTCACATTTCTGTTTGGCTTGGGCACATAGGTCACTGGCATAACACAAGCTTAGCTTATGTGGAGCCCTGGGTACAATCCCCAGCACCAAAAATAACTCTGTTTTACAGAGTTAGGACACACAGTAGGACTGTTTGAACGTTGGCATGACTGCAGCTATATTTCACCTGGAGGTGAACCAAACCTGAGGATGAGGAGGAGCGTGTATTACATGAAAGAGAGAATGGCTAGTCACTACTTTCTGGCAGAAAGAAGGCTACCCTACAGCAGGCCCAGGCTGTAGAGGAAGCCCCTCTGTCAGAACCCTCAAGACCAAGCTCTGAGCCCATCCCTGCTGCCACAATGCTTCCTCCAGCTGCAGCCCCCATTGGGCCAGTTTTCCACTGGCCTGCATGTTGGGGAGCCCCTGGAAAGAGCAGGATGAGGTGATGGGTCCTGCCCATCACCTGCAGGAAGCACGGCACCCAGGTGTGCTCCATCACCCGCCCATGTCTCTACCGGAACAACCTGGTCAGCTCTGCCAGCGGCTGACCTTGGAGAGGCAGGAGAGTGTGTCAAAATGTTCTCACAAGCCCCTTTCTATCATGTTATCCCAATCCCTCTCCTTTCTCCTAAGCCACCCACAAAGCAATCACATGTGAAAAGGACTGGAAAAGTCTGGTCTAGGATTGGAACATGGGTGTTTTTGTCTAAAGTGGGCTCTCAAGCAGGCGCTGGTGGTTCACACCTGTAATCCTAAGCTACTCAGAAGGCTGAGATCTGAGGATTGGGGTTCCAAGCCAGCCCTAGCAGAACAGTCTGTGAGACTTTTTAATCTCCAATTAACCTCCAGAAAACCAGAAGTGGCACCGTAGCACAAAATGATAGAATGCTAACCTTGAGCAAAAGAACTCAGGGACAGACAGCACCCAGGCCCTGAGTTCAAGCCCCATGACCCACCATAAACAAAATGGGCTCTCGGTTCTCTCTTGAGCAAAGTCTAGTTCTCAATCTAATATGTATATGTAAGACCCACCTGAGAGCTGTTGCAATTTCTTTTCCTGTCTGTTTAAAGCAAGCAGAGCAAAGTTCATTCGAAAGTGAAAAAGCCACAAAACAGAGGAACCCAAAAGAAGAGTCCCAGGATGTCATTTCTGATGTGGGATGGAGGGCAGCATTGCCTTACTTGTCAGTTCCCAGGTGATGATGGTCTAGTTTATGTGTGAGCTAGGCCTCCTGATGGTTCATGTTGAAATCCAGCCCTAGGAGGCAGGGGCAATGTGGTCTGGTTCTTGCTACCACACTAGATACCACCTGGAACCTGATGGAAGGGCTAATATCAGGCTCCAAGAATTTCACTTAGAGGGCTGGGAAGGTGGCTCAGTGGTAGAGCGCTTGCCTTGCACGCATGAGGCCCTGGGTTCAATTCCTCAGCACCACATACGCAAAAAGAAAAAAGCTGGAAGTGGCGCTGTGGCTCAAGTGGTAGAGCGCTAGCCTTGAGCTGAAGAGCTGAGGGACAGCGCCCAGGCCCAGAGTTCAG